TTTAGACCTCGTGGTTGTCGTTCGATGTAGATTTTATAATTGTTATATTATGCAGCCATATCTCAAAACCTGAAATTTAAGAAGGGTGGTGCTTTAGTTTAATCACCACGTGTTGAGTTTGCACGACCTCCACGTGACCTCGCTCTGTGTGGCAGGGTAGTGCACGAGCTTCACTTTCTCCTTCCGTTTTGTAACCTTGTGATAATCAATCCCTCTCCGAGTCGAAATAGTGATGGCAGTTGTTCGTGATGAAAGACAGAAAAGAGAGAAAGAGAGAGAGAAAGAATGAACGAGCGAGATGGAAATAATGTTAAAAAAAAGAAGTTAAAATATGCTTATGGCTAGGGCGTGGCAGCACGGTGTACTTATAAGGATTGATATCCGCCAAGATGGCGTCACGAAAGTATTTTTTGTTTACTTTGCAGTCAGATGTGTGAGAGAATGTGTGTTGATACTGTATACGTATGTGGTGGCGACGCCTACAATAGTTATTCATGTTAAAAAAAAACATGCAAAACTGCAGCCAAAAGCTCGAAGTAGCTCACAGTGACACAATATAACAACAATGACACACAATATAACAATTCTATGTCTTTCTTATTAAAAGAATATATGGATATTTTTATAAATATGTCTTGTCGTCGGTCAAGTAACTATCTTGGAGTACGGTAAATACTAGTTAGCTCTGGCAACAACAACAACAACTAAAAAAGAACGTCGTTTTCGCAGGATTTAAAAAGTGAGGTTATGTAAATGGGTTCTTGTTAAAGTGAGGTCAAGACAGAAAGAAATAACGTTGAACTTTTAGTTTGAAACTAAAAATGTGTAACGGGACATTGAATTAAAACTCCAAGAAAAATATTCAAAGAGACTGCTTACAATAGTTGTGTATGTTAAAAAAATGTTTTCAGTTTTTCTGTCTACTTGTACGGTTAGCATTATGATCGGGTTCATCCCTATATACTGTTATTATGACGGAAAATTAGTTGTGTTCTACTAAACGATGATACATAAATTAGTTGTGTTCTACTAAACGATGATACATAAATTAGTTGTGTTCTACTAAACGATGATACATAAATTAGTTGTGTTCTACTAAACGATGATGCATAAATTAGTTGTGTTCTACTAAACGATGATACATAAATTAGTTGTGTTCTACTAAACGATGATGCATAAATTAGTTGTGTTCTACTAAACGATGATACATAAATTAGTTGTGTTCTACTAAACGATGATACATAAATTAGTTGTGTTCTACTAAATGATGATGCATAAATTAGTTGTGTTCCATCTGATTAAGCGTGATGAAGCTTGAATTAGTTGTGTTCCATCTGATTAAGCGTAATGAAGCTTGAATTAGTTGTGTTCCATCTGATTAAGCGTGATGAAGCTTGAATTAGTTGTGTTCCATCTGATTAAGCGTAATGAAGCTTGAATTAGTTGTGTTCCATCTGATTAAGCGTGATGAAGCTTGAATTAGTTGGGATACATCTGATTAAGCGTGATGAAGCTTGTATTAGTTGGGATACATCTGATTAAGCGTGATGAAGCTTGAATTAGTTGGGATACATCCGTAAATATATGTGAAATGATTAGACTTAATCGTGTAATTAACACCTTAAATGCTCCAGTTCTATAAGTTGTTGGATTTATTTGGCTGTGAGTGAAGTGCTTTTGTTGGACAGTTCAGATGTGGATCTGAACTGTCCAACAAACTTGAAAAAGTGTAGCTGTCCCCATGGGATGTTGTTTTACCGGATCTGAACCGTCCAACAAACTTGAAAAAGTGTAGCTGTCCCCAGGGGATGTTGTTTTACCACATCTGAACTGTCCAACAAACTTGAAAAAGTGTAGCTGTCCCCACGGGATGTTGTTTTACCACATCTGAACTGTCCAACAAACTTGAAAAAGTGTAGCTGTCCCCACGGGATGTTGTTTTACCGGTAAAACAACATCCCGTGGGGACATCTACACTTTTTCAAGTTTGTTGGACAGTTCAGATGTGGTAAAACAACATCCCGTGGGGACATCTACACTTTGTCAAGTTTGTTGGACAGTTCAGATCCGGTAAAACAACATCCCAAGGGGACAGCTACACTTTTTCAAGTTTGTTGGACAAAATTGGCTTTTACATTGATTTCCCAGATGGATTAGACTTCTGAGATCATTGTGAAAGCTGATTTTGTTATCCTGTCGACGTTATGGATCACGTCCCTGAGTTCACTGTGAAAGCTGATTTTGATGTCTTGTCGACGTTATGGATCACTGTGACGCTGATTGTCTTATCCACGTGTAGAGGTTTGGATTGTCACCATATTTGGACATCATGATAACGTAGAAGATAACTTGTTTTCTGGTCAGCTTGGATGACCATCATGATATTTGTATCCGCCATTCTTGATGATCAGTCAATTTGATGGGTGAATATTAAGAATGAAAACCACAGAAATCGACGTTTTTTGGTACAGTGGAAAGTAAAATCTGTATTAGTTACAGTTGACTAGTTTCGGTAGAACAGTTACCATCATCAGGACTAGTATTTACTGTTATTCTTAATATAGCAGTAGTACTATGTGCCTGGAAAAGAAATTTAATATTTGTTAAGGTTACGACATGATCAAGAACTCATTATGCCCGACAGTGAAGTTAACTAGAAATGACAAGTTTCACGTGTCGGCGTTTCAAGGTCCCTCTCATAAATGTGGAAAGTGTCAGTGCTGAATGACAGCACTTTAGCATTGTACTATGTTGTAGTCAGCTATAGGTCATCACAGAAGAATTCTATACAGTTACAAACAACTTAGAACACACGTAACTCTGTAAATACTGACTTCAATGAATTCACAAGATGTTCTTACGCTGTACTTCGTTCTCCTTTAGACGTGTTTTTTCATTATTTTAGGTGAAACGAATGGTACTTTCGTTGTGGAGTGTCAGCATCTATCGTGTGTGACACTCAGTGATACCCCCCAGCCCCTTCTCCACGGAATTCAATGGGACCAAGGAACCCAGTAAACTTATATTTACAGAACACTTGATAATTACATTCATTCTTTTCCATTACTGTTATGTCGTATTCCTACTATAATATTTTACTAATCCAACTTATTACAAACGTTGCTCATCTGGTGGGAGTGATGTGGTCAGATTGTAAAACGTCTCTTCTTCATCTAACATCTGGCGGGAGTGATGTGGTCAGATTGTATGACATCTTTTCTTTATCTAACATCTGGCTGGAGTGATGTGGTCAGATTGTAAAACGTCTCTTCTTCATCTAACATCTGGCTGGAGTGATGTGGTCAGATTGTAAGACGTCTCTTCTTCATCTAACATCTGGCGGGAGTGATGTGGTCAGATTGTATGACGTCTTTCTTCTTCATCTAACATCTGGTGGGAGTGATGTGGTCAGATTGTAAGACGTCTCTTCATCTAACATCTGGCGGGAGTGATGTGGTCAGATTGTAAGACGTCTTTTCTTCATCTAACATCTAGTGGGAGTGATGTGGTCAGATTGTATGACGTCTCTTCTTCATCTAACATCTGGTGGGAGTGATGTGGTCAGATTGTAAGACGTCTCTTCTTCATCTAACATCTGGTGGAAGTGACGTGATCAGATTGTATGACGTCTCTTCTTCATCTAACATGAGGTGGGAGTGATGTGGTCAGATTGTAAGACGTCTTTTCTTCCTCTAACAGTATATTTTTTAATATTATTCAGGAATTCAACCACCCACATATTGTATTTTGAAGACGTACACTTTAACTTCTAACATTTACGATGAAAAATATTTGAAATTACCACGTACTAACATCAGTAACATGTATCATATGTCGTCAAAATCTGTATCGTATTCAGATTATAACCCATTATTCGACAAACAAAGTTTATTTTTTAATTTTTATTTCTTTATTTTTCAAGTTAGAAAAATTTCTGGTTCTTAATAGTTAACACTATAGGCAGCAAAAAAAAATAAAAATAACCAAACAACAATGTATCAGATCTGTGATTTGGGGCGTTAAAGTTATTTTTATTCACTTAGCTGTGCTCCTTTTTAAAATATTTTGTGTTTTATCATGTAATTTAAAGAAACAGTACCAATTGATATTGTTAAAGTTCTTCCTTTATTTTTGGAAGGCAGTCTTTCGTAATATCTGCGATTTATTCGGTTAGGAACTTCGAACTGGCTCGAAAAGTATGTACTTGAAGATTATCCACAAGAAAAAAAATGAACGCAATGTTGACTGACACAAGTAATATAGCGTTATATAAGAGAATTATGCTGGTTTATATTATCAGTAAACGTTCAGTACTTTTTCTAGTATATTTTCACTTGGATAATCGAAACCTAAAGATTGCGTTTATAGGACCTTTTTAAAAACACAAAAACAACCAAAACATTTCAGTAACTCATTTCAGTTGTATCTTCTTTAAATTCATTTTATGAACAGAGATTAAATCCCCCCTTTTCCCTCCCGCACCTCGTATTTCCAAGCACGAATAATTTTGCTCTAGAGAACAACATAAGATGTTTGAGGATAAAAGTTATTTTTTTTCCGGTTATTAAACAGGTTACACGATTACTTTTTTTTAACGGTTGTTCAACTACAGCGTTTAGCAAAAGTAATGTCTCCATCTGTTAAAGCATATATAACAATAAATATCGGGCATTTGAAAGTTACAAATGATTCAAGTGACGTACTATGGTTACAATATACATATCTACATGCAAGGATGTCTCACTTAATGCCCCAGATAACTCATTTTAGTTTCTTCTTCACCTACAATCTGAACAACTAAGATATTTCATGCAGTTTGTTTTAGCACAAAGCTACACAATAAATTATCTGCTCTCTGTCTACCGAGGGGGAATCGAACCCTGGTTTTCTGTCGCAGCTTGTATTTAAATGTCGAAATTCAAGGTATTTTTCTAAAAACAACACTCCTACTATTTTTATATTCAAAATCTTTATTAACACTTATAAAACAACAACCTTGTTAGTAATTCAATCATATTTTAAACTTTACTTCCTTATATTATTTAAAAAAATAATATTTTATATCATACATAAAAAAAATGGAAACGGTTATTTAGCTTATATATAACTCACGCATATTAAACAACAACAACAATAAAAAGCTCGGCCTGACGTCCGGTAGGTAGAGCCACTAAAAATATGACGAGCCACTAACGAAATAGCACCGGATCAAAATCATAAGTGTATATATATATATATATATATATGATAAAATACTTGGAGCATAGAATAAAATACAGGTTAATAAAATAAGGTTAAAGTTATTTTCACTATGGAAGACGCGCAGTGGAGTATCATCCCTGAACATCAACATCGGTAAAAAACAACGCAAGTTTTTCGTTGATACTGATTAGTGTGATGTAACAGTGATAGGGAATCCACACACGCACAGTTTCAATATCACTGTTCTAGTCTTTCCTTTTTTTTAATACGTAAATTTTATAACGTTCTATATATCGCTCAAGATGTTTTGAATTCATCGCAAGTGAACACACGGGAAGTGCACAACTTGAAGCTTCATCACATCATAAGTGAACACATGGGAAGTGCACAACTTGAAGACTGATCACATTCACAAGAGAGAACACGTGGGAAGTACACAACTTGAAGCCTGATCACATTCACAAGAGAGAACACGTGGAAAGTACACAACTTGAAGCTTGATCACGGCTGTAATTTGAAGTTCCACTTCTGAAACATCCAATTCTATTGGCTTTAGCAGTGATTTTATTTTTACAAAAATTCCCCAGTGCAAGGATTTATATAAAAAGTATCATTTGATTTGAAAATGTCTGTAGGGAAAGGATAAGAAGACTATATCTGCTAGTTCTTTGGGGTGCAGGGAAAGATTCCAACATGCATTAATCAGTTTCTAACTGACTTACTGATACACAATTTCTTGAGGAGAGGTTTCTCTTCGTATTGACTTCTTTATAACTGATTCTTTGACCACCAAATTCTCACGGTTTTGGGATTCCATTGTACACGTCTATTTTCTAACTGACATTTCGATGCACAAGTTTCTCTAATATATAAATTTAATATTCCGAAACTTTCTCTAGGTATTAGCTTCTTTATAATTGATCTTTTTATCTACAACTTCTCGAGGAGCTGGGATCACACTATACACTTCTGTTTTATAACTGACGTTTCGATGCACAACTTCTTCAAGGTGAGGGGTTTCTCTACTTATTAGCTTCTTTTGAATTTATTTATTTTTTATCTAAGACTTCTCGCGGGATTGGGATTATATTATACACGCCTTATTTGTAAGTGACGTTCGATAACAAACGAATAAGGGTCCAGGGTGTGTTGATACATCAGCATGTATATAACTGACATTTCGAGATGTGTTGTTACATCAGCATGTATATAACTGACATTTCGAGATGTGTTGATACATCAGCATGTATATAACTGACATTTCGAGATGTGTTGTTACATCAGCATGTATATAACTGACATTTCGAGATGTGTTGATACATCAGCATGTATATAACTGACATTTCGAGATTGATCGACCTCAGCAGATGAAGGATGGGGTTATAAAGCTTGGATATAATAGGGATTTCACTTGATACAGATCCTTCAGGACTTTCTTGCCCTATACAATTAACGTTTCGCTTTGCAACTTTCAATATAAAATAATCACCACAAAAAACTTTTCGTTTTGCAGTTTCTTCACCAGTTTCCTACGACGCCACAATTTGATGTTTGGGGGTAATTTTAAGTTTCAACATATTAGAATGTAACCACAACCATCCGTGCCAATCACGACATTCCTTGAATTTATTAAGTATTAGTTCACACGTAACTTCTATCTACATTTTTACAGTTGATTAATATATGGTTGTATGCATTTTTTTTTCAGCGAATATATGATTTAAACAAAATAAATTTTAGTGAAAATAAAAAGTATTGAACATTTTTATTTCTAACTACATTTGGTAAACTCCGTTTTCAAACTACAAAAAAGAACGAGGAATGAGAATAAATGGAACGTTCTTAGTTTAATGGTTACAAGTTTTGGATTTTACTTAAGTTCGTTGAAACTCGAGTAATTCCTATAACATGTATATTACAACATTTATCGTATTACATTTAAAAATCTTATAACTGCCAAGTATATCGCTGATAACTGTGAGACAGTGTGTTAGCCAACTTTTTTTTTCGTTATAGTTTTTTTTCTAGTTATTTGATTATTATTATTATTTGCAATGTCTGACTTGGATAATTTTTTATTTGTTTGTTAAGCACAAAGCTACACGATGGTTTACCCGTGTTCCGCCCACCACGGTTATCGGGGAGGGAGGGGGAGCAACGAGTTTTATAGAAATGGTTTATTTTCATATGCTTGAATCATTACTTGCGGTTTTGTATTTCCGGTAGAAATAGTATATTGTTGTCTGGGAATAACGGACCTCTGACAAAATCTGTAAGAATTGGCTTCTTCAAATTGTTGTGAAAGACTTGTAGGGAAATCTGATTGATAATTATTGTGCGAAATATTAGAAAAAGCATTTTTTAAATTATTAACATTCTGAGTAGTAGAGGGGGCGCTTATGAGTGCCTTTATAGCCCCTTCCGACGAGAAGGATAAGGCGCAGGATGGCCTTGTTGATCTAACAACAGGAGTTAGTTCATGAAATTTGATGGGTTCATCTTCCTGCTTTCCGTTATGGGTAATAACACTGTGCTCAGTTTGACCAAGAACGGGACTAACAGAGGTAGAAGATAAGCCATCAGGAACTAGGTCATAATCCACGTCTCTACGAATGCATGTATTGTTGAAGAATTGTGTGACGTCAGATGAAATGGTATTTGAGATCGGCAGTAGTTTAGAGGTGTTATGATTGGACGCTGTAATCGTAGAAGAAAAATTGAAACTGTTAGTATCATCTGGCGATGTAGACGTCCACGAAGATGATAAAGCCCCAAAAGGCGGTAGACATTGGTCTATTTGGAAAAGATCCATGTTACACATTCCCTCTGACGTCAGTTTTGACATGTCACCTTGGTTGAAACCGTTTGGTTGGGCAGTTTGCTGGGCTAATACATATTAAAACACAATATTTACATAAATAACTTACGGGAAAAAGATGTTAAATCATATTTTCGTAGTTGTTACATCCAAAACCATAGAGGAAAGAAAAAAGTTAAGAGATGTTAGAAATTAAATTAATAGTATCAGTACAAAACAGTTATAAATTAGAAAACTTTAAGTCCAATTCATATAATAAAGGACAATACTGAGTGTATTTTACTGTATAAACCTTATCATATAAAGATTTAACCAATGTTATCCTTCATACAATCAAAGGTCCTACTCAATAAAATTTCGTGTCTAACGGTTAACTGCATATACATAAACTAAATTATTAAACTGTTTCTGTACAACTCCAGTGGTCAATTTTTAATAACCAGTTTTCATTCTTAATTTGTTTTTGATTGAATTAGAAGCAACCTTCTTTCAACTAGTTGGAGATGGTGAATTGTAGTTCTAGGTGTTAAATTTTGTGGGCTTAAGCACCGACATATACTCAGACTTTTTAAGGTGATTATGATTATATGTGCAGAGTAGTGAAACTAATTATGGAAACGACGAAGGAAAAGGTTATCGGGGACAAGTACTTCAGGAATCTGCGCCAGAGTACAGTTAATATTTTACACATGAGAAGTGTGTTGAAATCGAAGTTTTGGTTCGTCAAGGAGACTCCACGCGAAAAATTGCGGAAAGACTCCATGTTTCAGTAAGAATTCTACACCATACTACAAAGAAGGTAAATGAAACTGGCATTGTTATTGAAATATAGTGGTCGAGGTTGTAAAACAATAGGAATTCTACACCATACTACAAAGAAGGTAAATGAAACTGGCATTGTTATTGAAATATGTGGTCGAGGTTGAAAACAAACATTCCATAAGTGATATTACCTACTTATCTTAGGTTATGTTCTTTACGAGATAGATGAAGGTTGAGTACACATTTTGCCAAGCATTTTGCTATAAATACAGATGTGGATGTTATACTGAGAACAGTAAGATGCACCTTAGCACAATGTGATTTTAATGGACGTATAGCTGCTTGGGAACCGCTGCTGAGAAGATATAACAAAACCAAGACATCGAAAGGGACATCTGACTACAACTAACGGAATCAACAGAGCTGGAGATGTGGACTCTTTACAGATGAATCCTAATTCAGTGTTCAACAAAAATCAACGAGAGTAGATCGGTATCATAGGTCAATGTACAACAGGTACAGTGGAGGATCAGTACAAGTTTGGGGCTGCATCTTGGCCAGTGGTATCGGTAATCTATACAAAACTGATAGAAACCTGACTGTTAACAAGTACAGGTAGATTCCAATCCATCATACCATTTCCCACAGGAACACATCTTCCAGCAAGATAATGATCACAACCATACAACAGATATGGTGAAATGATATCTTGACGATAAAGAGGTTGAGAGAACGTTTACAGTTATGGCTTCTTGGCCTGCACAAAGTCTCGATTTAACCTATATTTACAAACTTCACGTATGAAATGAATTGATATTTTAAATTTGAAAATTAGGAACAACTATTGGTGTAATTTTTCAACATCTGAATCTACTGTTACTGAAGACAGTTGTAGGAAGGTAATTACATCCCTTGAAACATACACGCACACACACAAGCCTCAATATCACTTACCATGACTCTGTAAACCGACGTGTTCAAATCTTTCCATATTTTCACTCTTCCATCCAATTCCAATCAGGTTCGAGTTTGTGGATGGCTTAGATGACTGCTGATTGATTGCTGAAGTACGTAAAGTTCCAACGTTTTCTGTCTTGAGGGAGCTTTCGAAAATATAATGTTAGTAAAGATGTTATAGAGTAAATGAGCAATTACTTTGATAAAAACATTGACATGAAGTTGTTCATTTACCCAAGAATATACTATGATAAGAAATATTTAAATTCGTTAACCCTAGAATTACCGATGTCCATTCAATCCACTCTTTAAAACACATTTTTCTAAACCATTCATGCATGAAATTGTTATGGATCCATATTGTTGTTGTTCACAGGGTTCTTGATATTGTATGGGTCACAAAATATACTACCAATATTTGTATTAACGCCATTAATTGTTGTTTTAGTGAAAAGTTACCAATAGGAATTGAAACCAGGATTTTAGTGTTGTAAGTTCATAAACTTACTGCTGACCCACCGGGAGACTGCTGTCAACAACAGATGGGGTTCCTTATGTATCTTACATAGAAAACAAGCGCCATTTCTTTACGCAGAACGTTATAACAGCAAAAACCTTAAATTACTTAATTTGTGGACCCAATTGGTAGTTACCAGCTTAAAAATAGCCTGTAATTTGAGGGCTAATACAGCTACGATTTGAAACGCCAATATTCGATTGTTTCCAACGTTAACATATGCTGCCATCCAATGGCACAGCGGTATGTCTGCGGACTTACAACGTTAGAAACCGCGTTTCGATACCCGTGGTGAGCGGAGCACAGATATCCCATTGTGTAGCTTTGTGTTTAACTTCAAACTAACTAACACATACTATATTTACATATACAAATATTTAGTTACAAACTCTTCACTTGTCTCATTTAAATTAGTAGGGAAGGCACTGAATTACTCATCAAATTTACCTCAGGTAACAAAATTAATTTAACGATCAGTTTAATAGTGCAGTGAAGAATGTCAACTAATGGAGCTTTACTGATGATGGATTATATCAAAGCAATTTTGAATATGCAAATCAGTAAGTAATGTGACGATCACAGCCGATATAAAGTCGCGGTAGAATGGAATGCATCAGAACTACATTTGGAAATATTTGGCGTTTGGTAAGTAGTGTGATGTCACCAAAAATTGATCGCTTTTTGGAGGGTTATGTGACAGCCGATGCAAAATATTCATAAACTCGATCACAAAGATGTTGTGAGGTAGTGAATTTAAAATTTCTAAGACTGGGGTATCCCTTATATTTAATGACATTGGAAAACAATGGAATATGGATGAACTTGGGGTTCCAGGACTATCCAGAAAGAGACCTTCAACAAGTCATACCACAACCGTTGCAGACAAAGTGTTGTGTCTTGCAACAGGTGAGATCCACGAACGCAAAAGCTGTCCACCTGCCCCCAGGCAACAGTAGGCAACGTTCTCAAAAGGATTTCTGTTTAAAAAAGTGATACAAGTTGCTTTCACGACACAACCTTTCAATGGTGGCATACTCGCTATAGAAGGAAATTGGTATTCATTCTATTCCATATGAAAAAAAGATATATAGTCAAGTGGGCTCAGAAACTACGGATTTCTGTGTGATCAGAATGTCGAAAGGGATGCTTGGAAACCGTCGTCCTCCTACACTAGAGAGATTATGGAAAGCAGTAGGGGGGAAGGGCGAGCTTTGAACATAACGGCCTAACGTCGTAGCCTTTTTACAATGGAAAATGCATTGCAGGACTATTGCCAAGATGCATGGTCGTCAAACAGAACATGATCGAAAATGGCAACAAGGATTGTAACGACGAAATGATGCTTTATAATTGTATTAATATAACGTACTCTACCTCTGTATATTACTTTAGCTTAATACGATCAGCTTAATAAGGCAGTGAAAAGTGTCACCTATTGGAGCTGTATTTCTTTTAAGCCACTTCACCAAAAACATTTCACGACCAGAATATCACCTAATGAAGCTTAATACCACTTTAATAAAATATTTTCACGATCAGCTTAATACTGCAGTTAAGAATATCAACTGGCGACTAATTTTGTGTATTCATCGTTATACTCTTCACGATGATATAATAAAAAGGTATGTAAAAGAGACCCCCCCTCAAAGAAAGAAAATGCTATGGCATTCCCACAAGCTACTGGGTGGTTCTTCACAGACTGAGAAAGATCGATTTACCTGTTTAGGCCCATTTCAGGCAGTTACGGAATTATAACTGACTGGGAAGAGCCGTGAAATTCTCGAAACTAGTCTGCTGCAGGGGGAATAGGGAATCAAAGAATAGATTAGGCCTGTACGTCGTTCACGGGTATTTTGTTTTCTTCAATATAATTAGACGTTTTGGTGATTTGTTTGGCTTGTTTTGAATTTCGCGCAAAGCTACACGAAGGCTATTTGCGCTATCCATTCTTAATTTAGCAGTAATAGACTAGAGGGAAGACAGCTAGTCAACACCACCCACCGCCATTGTTTGGGCTACTCCTCTACCAACGAATAGTGGGATTGGCCGTCACATTATAACGCTCCCACGGCTGAAAGGGCGAGCATGTTCGAACTCTCGACTCTCAGATTGCGAGTTGAGCGCCTTAACCACCGTTTTGGTGAAGAAGAGAAAAAAATAACATTTTTCCTAAGGCCGAAAGGTCACAACATAAGTTTATTTAGTAGCTGTGTAGAAAGCACATTTATTCAGTTAATTAAAAAAAATATTATTTATTTAAACTGAATTCCACTCCTAAAAAAGAGCTCTTTGTATGATTAATGAAATATTATTGTAATTTGATTTTCTCAAAACAAGTTTTTGTTCTTTAATTTGATTTGTTATTACGTTACATACAACAAGAAGTAATATAACACAACTTTAAATCGTCAACATGAGATACGAAAATACTGGTATATAAAATGGTACAATTCGTAAATATTTTGAACGATTGTAGCGCCCTCTAGCGGCAGTTTTGGTTATGGGCGTCTTTTACAATTGTCCTAAGATAAGCTTTCATTAATCATATG